AATGGTATTTGTGTGTTTACGAAAGATTGGTTACTGGACTATATGGCAATATTGACTCCGCTTAAAATGTACGTATGGATTTTTAATTCATATATTTTTTTTATTCTTCATGTTTTATTTTCAATATTTTAATAAATTTATGTTTATAAATTTAAATTTAAATCAATAAAGTGCGAATTAACGAGCTGATGTCACCTGTCTGCTATGTTATCCAATAGGACGTATGTCGCTCAACAACACCACTTGCGACGTTGCCAATTCTACCAGGCCGCGGCCTGTAGTTAAAGGTGGCCCTGCTTTTATCAGTTCCAAAAGTAATCTTCGTCAAACACGTTTGACGAAGGTTTTTTTTTTGGAACTGATAAAAGATTGTAAAACCAAATATTTTATATATTACAGTTACGGGGCTACAACAATGAATTTTATTAATTATTTATGTCTGATTTAAGTAAAGAGTTTGGTTTTTTTTATAACGTATTTGTTAGGATTTTACGTGTTGGAGCTAATTGTGCTGATGTACCAATATAATAAAATAGGTAGGGATTCATGTACAGTTGGATTTTTTTAGCTAAAAGTGGTTAAGGTGTGGTGGAATATCTTTGAAGATGAACCTATTTGGCTGTAGTGCGATCGGATGGGCACACGGGAGGGACTATGGCTAAAGGTGTGGGGTGTGGTGACGTCATATCTCAAGTGGCTATTGTCACAGACAATATAATACTTTAATGTACAAAAGACGATTTAGATAGGTTATAATGTACAATACTTATTCATTTCAAATATTTATCATTGCCATTGTTATTAATATTATTTATTGTTTTCACGAAAATATTCATCATGGTTATTGTTATCTTTATTATTTATTATTTTCTAGATAAAAAAATAAATTAGAACATCTAGTATTTTACTATGTATATTTAAATAACCTCCCATCGTCTTACCGAATAAATCAACGTATCAATGATTATAGCATTACACGTAGTATAAATCAGTCAACCCTACGTATGTCATTTTATTTTCATCCAAATGCTGAATTGTGTCAAAAACGCTGAATGTTTACAGCTCTTACGTTAAGCAAATGCTATTATACCATAAAAAAAATCTATGATTATACCAAAAGCTTGTCTAGACTAGAATGTTAGCGTCGGCTGCTAGACTTTTTGAAAATTAAAACTTAATTTCTAAAAAACTGAAACCCTAAACTAAAGTTATGGCTTCAACATTCCCTAGTTCTCAAAATTATCTTTCTTTCAACACAAAAATCATGAAAATCCGTCAAGTGGTTGATTCAGAATCGTGAAATAAAAAAAACCCTGTCACGTTTTAATATATAAGATTCAAAAAACTTGTGTATTTACTTCTCGTTACTCTTAGTTCTTTCTTTGTCCAAGTATTTGCATGTACTGTATTCTTATAATTGTTACTTTTGATATTACTTTTATTTATAGGCTATTTAGTCATATTGAGCAATTCACAGCTTGTAATCTAACTATAAAATTGGTGTAAATCCGTTGGCAAATATATAAATAAGTAAATAAATACACAGGCCACAAAAAATTGATACGTTAACAACGTAAAGCTTTAAAAATTCATGATGTTTGCTAAAAAAATCTTTCACTTGATGTTTTATCTTTTTCATAGTAAAAAACTAACATTTTGGAGTCCAGACAGAACTTGACACAATGGCAGAAAAGACAGAAAAACAGACAAACAGACAGACGGACAGAAATTTAGAAGACTCGTTTCGGCTTTCTTAGGCTATGAAACGTAAAATAACCAAAAACTACATGATTCTACGCAATGTACAGACAAAACTGTAATTTTATTTATAGGTATACATTATCAAAAATGAAATTGTTTTGAATTAAATATTCCGAATTCCTATTTGTGGAAACAAAGCATCTTGGAAAGTTTAGCTAAAATATGTTAAGCCATTTTGATTGATTTGTGTTTTTGTTTTGTGTATGGAAGTTAGTATTGAAGCCGATCCCAACGAGCTTTGCTTCGCTCCGCTCTATTACAGTACTACACACTGAATACAATTTATTGCTAACATTTGTATCGGTAAAATAGGGTAGAATAAGGCAGAAGATAGTCAGGTTTGCCCCTTTTACAACTAAAAATCTTAATATTTCAGCTATCTTATTTGATCTTTTTGAACTTGGTATCGTTTGATAGATAAAAATGCTAAACAAAACTGTACTTGGAATATTTTCATAAAACGAGCCAGTTTTGAGTAATTTAAGTTTAAAAGTTTTAAATGGCCACCATTTTTTAAATTGCAGGTTGAATCAGAAATAGTTTAATAAACAAAATTAGAAATAACGTACACAGTACGAAAATAAGAGGTTAGTGCGTACACAGTACGCCGCACCATTAAAGTCAATGGCCGCACAGTACGTATACAAGTAAGGTTATATCACTTGGCGGGATCAGCTGATTTATCAATTAATAAATCAATTAATTGCTATTAATTAAATTAATTGCTAGGGGTGTCACGTGATTGAAATAGAGCATTCTGATTGGTCCCCTACCGGGGCGCGTACCCTACTTACCTACTTACCTTTGTTGCTACAGGGAGGCTTTAAGGTCGATTCCCACACATCAGTTGCGGCACGTTACAGTCCAGTCACTTCAGACAGACACGTCACAGTTAACAAAAATATTCTTTAATGGATTTTCTATTGCGCTATCTACACTCATCCGTTGCAGTTCCGCCAGTCGCTCTGCCAGCATCAGTCAGTCAATTTTAGATTTCTTTTCACCAATATTTTTGGATTGTTCGGACGCCTGACGGAACTGTTTGAGGTTAGAAAATAGTGTTGTTGTTATATAAATGGTTGCGTTTGTATTTTTAGTACTGTTTTTAACAATCAACAAGACGTAGGATGAAAATTTGATAGAATAGTGTGTTTTAATTAAACATTTTTTACTGTAATAACATTGTAAATAAAGTGACTTAAACCAAATGACTGAAAGATTGGCCGAAAAATTGCGGATGCAACTGTGACTGGACTGTAACGGAACTGTGACTGGACTGATATGTGTGAATCGACCTTTAAAGTGTGTTTTTAGTAAAATATTAATAGCTTGGCATAAAATAAAAATAATTACAAGTTTGATCAAAATATATCCATAAACAAGCAAACTACATTTTACAATATTCTCCACAGAATAACATGGTAATTTTAAATTTACAATTTTTGGAATTTTATCCGTAGCCAATAACCACACAAAAACACTTCCATTTACAATATTTGTCTTTATAAGCTCTTTAAAATGGTCTAGAGAGAAATTGGGAAATTTTGTGTTTTGATGGTCAAAAATGAGAAAACCCAATTTTTACCTCATAAAATCCCCCGTAAAACCCCGTTCCAATCGTCCGATCATGCTGGTACACGAACTCATTAAAAATCGAACAAAAATTACTCAGTTTATCGCGTTCACGGACATATACAGGGTGAGTTTTAATTGTCCCCCCCCCCAACTTTTTTCTACATTTTTTCAAATATCAATCCCAGACGACTTCCAAACATTGTTGGGTAGTAAGTACTTCATTTTGACAAGGTGGTCATTTCCGGCCGCCATCTTGGATCCGCCATATTGGATGCAAAATTTTTTTTTCAAATGTAAAGGTGGGGTTGTGACCCATTATTTCGAACTACATTTTTACCCTGATTACAATGTCGCAAACTGTTTAAAAAAATCTTGATTCATTCTAAAGTTACGAGGGCTTTTTAAAACTTTATTTTTAGCCCATTTTAACATTGTGCATTTACAAACTAAGACCATAATCCCAAAATAGTGCTAGATAATGATAAGTATACACTACCAGTAATTGTCCACCTATTTTCACTTGGTTATGACTGATGTATTTTTTTCGGCCGCCATCTTGGATCCGCCATTTTGAAATGTGATAAATTATTTTAAATATGAAGGGGGTGTTGTGACCCAACATTTTGAACTACTTTTTTAAGCTAAACTTAATTCCATAATCCGTTTTTCATTTTCATTTTTTGATTTTGAAATATTGACATTTTTATCAAAAAAAATTCAATATTTCATAAATAAAACTTGATAACAAAAAATGGATTGCGGCATTGAGTTTAGCTTAAAAAAGTAGTTCAAAATGATGGGTCACAACACCCCCTTCATATTTAAAATAATTTATCACATTTCAAAATGGCGGATCCAAGATGGCGGCCGAAAAAAATACATCAGTCATAACCAAGTGAAAATAGGTGGACAATTACTGGTAGTGTATACTTATCATTATCTAGCACTATTTTGGGATTATGGTCTTAGTTTGTAAATGCACAATGTTAAAATGGGCTAAAAATAAAGTTTTAAAAAGCCCTCGTAACTTTAGAATGAATCAAGATTTACTTAAACGGTTTGCGGCATTATAATCAGGGTAAAAATGTAGTTCGAAATAATGGGTCACAACCCCACCTTTACATTTGAAAAAAAAATTTTGCATCCAATATGGCGGATCCAAGATGGCGGCCGGAAATGACCACCTTGTCAAAATGAAGTACTTACTACCCAACAATGTTTGGAAGTGGTCTGGGATTGATATTTGAAAAAATGTAGAAAAAAGTTGGGGGGGGGGACAATTAAAACTCACCCTGTATATAAAATAAATTTGAACGAATAGTGTTTTAGGCCTCTGGGGACATCAAAATGAAAAAGTAAATCGGTCCCGGGCTCAAGTCTCACCATGAGACTTACAGTAATCCGTAATAACTACTTCCCTATAGGGAGATTCCCTAAAACCAATTCATTTGGTCTAGGCCGTCGGTTCGTAAATGTAAAATTAACCTCGATCAGCAGCAATTAATTTAGACATTAGCTTGCAGAGGTGTGTATGTGTGTGGAGATTATATGGGTGTTACAGGGTGTTACGCAAGCGGTATGCGATACAGATACTGACCACAGCCACCTCGAACCCAAGGCGAGTCAGTACAAGTAAATCTACACACATTGGTCAGTGTGTTAGTGTCACTTTAGCTAGCTACAGCTAACACTTTGACGGTTTCGCGAATTTCCCGGAAGTGTAATTTGAGTCGGTAAAGATCGTAAATAAACATATTTAACGTGGATAGGTTACTGATATGTTTATTTTATGTGTCGGGTTTTGTAGAACCTACAGACGTATATTTTTTGTCGAAAATTATCTTTCATTATGATTAGAAAAATTAAACATGTAAAATTGCCTTTGTTTTTCAGTAATTAATGCTGATCTTTGAAAATGCATTGCATTTAAACAGTTAATCACGTTGTACTTACTTTGAAATTCAATATTATTTTTTATCACAGTCGCTTTAAGAAGATAGAATATTTCAACCGAACAGCATAATAAAAACAGTAAAAATGAAATACGAGTTTATTAAATTGTAAACAGAACGTGCCAGTAAACTATTTTAGAGCAATAATGAGTTTAGGTGTGTTGTATTTTGTTTGTGGCCATATAAACTTTACGCGGAATTGGATACTATTCACATTGGAATAAACAAAGGTAAGTGTATGCACAGAACCATTTTAATTTTTAATTAATAAAAACGTATAAACGGGCTTCTTTTATTCATGGCCAAACATAACTATCACATAAACATACACACTTTGTGCATAAGACTCTGAGTTGTTTTGATCATTTTATATGAAATGCCAATATTGAAAACTTAATACAAATTAATGATACTAAAATGACATATTTTTAACATCGCTACAAACACTTTAAATTCAAATATATTAATCTGGCCGTTCTTAGGATTATTCCATGGATATATAAAATATCAAACTTTAACTAAGTGTTATAAGAAATGTATTATTTTTGTAAAAACCTTTTTAGTGAATTTCCCTATAGGGAAGTAGTTATTGCCGTAGGTGGCACGGTAAGGCCTGGAGCCGGGACCGATATACTTTTTTTCATTTTGATATCCCTAGAGGCCAAAAACAATATATATATATATATATATATATATATACGTCCGTGAACGCAATAACTTGAGTAATTTTTCTCCGATTTTGATGAAATTTGGGTTGAAGGTGTAAGGCGGGATAAACTTGAATGAGTTCGCGAACCAGCATGATCGGACCATGGAAACGGGGTTTTACGGAGGATGGGGTAAAAATTGGGTTTTCTCATTTTTGACCATCAAAACACAACATGTCCCAATTTCTCTCTAGACCATTTGAGAGAGATTAAAAAACAAATAATTTAGTATATTGAAGTGTTTTGTGTTGTTATTAGTTACGGAGAAAATTTAAAAAAATTTAAATTTAAAATTTCCATGTTATTCTTATGGAGAATTTTGTAAACTGTTGGATTTTACTTGTTTATGTATATATTTTTATCAAACTTGGCAAATTTATTTATTTAATACAAAACTATTATTTTTTTACAAAAAACACACACTTTATTATCCTCCCTGTAGCAGCTTGCAGCAAACCTAGGTACTCATTTTACCTAGTTATTCAAATAGATTTAATTGTATATCAGTTAGGGCAAATGGAGTCTGCAGGTTTGCTGCGGCAGGGGCATTTTAGATATTTAGTTAGTTATAGAGTATAATTTATTCCAATAAAAAATTCAAATAGTAATATTATTTACCTGATTTCACCATAAACCAATCCAGTGAAACCATGAGGTCTGATATATTATATAGTACAGGTAAAATTATACTAAAAAACCAGTAGAAAACATAAAAATTAGTCCATTCATGAAACTTTCAGGAAATTTGTAATTACCATTAGGTATTGGAATCTGAAGAGTCCCTAGTGATTGTGAGGGTGGAAGTACCATTTTATGGGGTTTTAAGTTTATGGGGGTAGTGATTTAAAAAAAAATTATTTATGGGATCCAAGCAAGTGGGGTGTCGTTTTCTATGTTTCTTAGGATGCAGAATCGAAAAAGAACATAATAAAAGCAATAAAACCGTCAGTTTATCAGAAAAAGACTAATTTATTAACGAAAAACTAAATATGACAAATTAATTAAGGTAAAATAATCCAGTTAATTAATATCAATCACCTATTACAAAATTGATCATGAGTCTGTGTCACATGTTAAAGTTGTGAGGAAAACTAACCAAGAAACTGGTAGTTACGCCTCTTTAACCACCACGTGTCATATTGTTCATCAGCTGATGCATCATCACCTTCCATGGAATCGTCAGGGTCTCTAACTCGTTCTTCTCCATCATCGTCTTGCCTTAACACTGACATCTTAGTAGTGGGGATGGGTAGCAGAAAAATATTTCAGTTCTGGCGGTGATCCTGCAGCTTAGGGTGGTGAAGATAATATATAAGACCAAGAATGTAAAACCACCCAGACCCCAATTTTTAAGGACCTTGGTCGCCCGTAATGACGTCATCAATATGGCGCTTGGAAGAGGATGCTGGGTCGCTATGAATTGGTTATTATACCAAAATGCCTGAACCGATTTTAATGAAATTTGGCATACAAGTGCTTGAATACGATATCTAATCCCAGTTTGTCACTGGTCGAGTTTGATTTGGTCATTTTAAAATGGCGGCCGTAAATAATTAAAATAATTCAAAAATGTTTGATGTTTTGTTTTTCAACTCTCTCCAGAAATTTGCAGCAATCTTTCATTTTCCTTGCAATCACAGGTTGTGATGCCATCTCTGCATTTCATGGATTAGGCAAAATACCCCCACTGCAGCAAACCTGCAGATAAGGTGAGTTTCCATTTGCCTGATTTGATTTTCAATTAAATCCATTTCAATAACATTAAGTTTAGTGTTAACTAGGTTTGCTGCTTTGGGGAGGGTAATAAAGTGTGTTTTTTTATTAAAATACGAATAGGTTAAATAAATTCGCCAAGTTTTATCAAAATATAACCATAAACTAGCAAAATAACTAATCAGGGTATTCAAAATAGTTTAGAGAGAAATTCGTAAATTTTACGTTTAGAGGACATGAGAAAGACATGAGGAAACATGAGAAAACCCCAATTATTACCCCATAAATCCCCCAGAACACCCCGTTCTCATGGTCTGATCATGCTGGTTCGTGGACTCGTTCGAGTAAATGTAGGGTTACACGTTTTTACCAAATTTCGTCAACATTGGGTAATTTTTGCTTGAGTTATTACTTGAGTTGTGCTAACGTTCTTTAAAAAGTACATGTCTACAGTCATTAACGCTGTTAAAGTTTGATGTTATCTATAAGTATAAAAGAGGATGTTTGTATATATATATATATATTTGTTTGGCAGTGATAAACTCAGACACCGCTGAACCGATTGCCACGAAACTTGGTACATACGTGTAGAATTTCATGGAATAGGTTTATACACCATCAATTTCGTGATCCGTCCAATCGGCTCCGCCCCAGTAGCTCTGGAGTTTCCCATGTTAACCTTATGAGAAATGGAATTAATGAATCTTAACAGCTGTTTCAATTAAACAAGTTGGTTCTGTTCTATGATGTTCAATAGCATTAAAGTTACAAGGATTACCAACAGGGTGCAGCACTATTTCTTTTACATTTATGACAACAGCTAATTTGCAACCAAAAGGTGAGTGATCATAGCGAACGAACTTCAACCTGGAGGCGAGTTAGCGTAGTGAACGAGCTAACCTGAAGGCAAGTGAGCGTAGCGAACGAGCTAACCTGAAGGCAAGTGAGCGCAGCGAACGAGCTCCCACCTAAAGGTGAGTGAGCGTAGCGAACGAGCTTCAACCAGGACGTGATTGAGCCATGCGAACGAGATCATCTTTAAAATTAAGAAGTTAAACGGGGCAAAGCCCGCGGGTTACAGCTAGTGTCATATAGAAAAGTAAAACAAATCATTGGATTGATTCTAACGAGTTCGCAATCCAGCATGATCAGGCCATGGGAACGGGGTTTTTGGGGGGATTTATGGGGTCAAAATTGGGTTTTGTTATGTTTAACCCTCTATAACATTTTCCAATTTCTCCCTAAACCATTTTGGATACCATGATGAATTTGAATACATTAAAAACCAAATAATTTTGTTTATTGAAGTGTTTTTGTACGGATATTGGTTACCTACCGAGAAAATTCAAAAATTGTAAATTTATCATTTACATTTTTATTCTTATGGAGAATAAGTAACCTGTTGTAGTTTACTCGTTTATGGATATATTTTGATAAAACTTGGCAAATTTATTTATTTATTTTGACCTAAGCTATTAATGTTTTAATTAAAAAAAAAAACACACTTTATTATCCTCTCCGTAGCAACAAACCTAGGTACTAATTAACTTAATGTTATTGGAGGTAGTGTAGTGTTTTTGGTAAAATGTTAAGTTTATTGTTATGTATTTATTTAATCTGAAATAAATACATCCGCCAACTGTTATCCAATATTATCACATCCCAGCAAACTACAAATACATTAGTATTCATGAGAATTACCTTTAAAATGTTATAACATACATACCTACTGTTCTATCGTGTTTGTTCGTCAACTCGTAATAAATACAATCCTACAAATTGTGCTAAATTTTGACTAAATCAGATCATAATTAATTGCTCAAGCTATCGTGTTCATGTACACACACATGAATAATGTTTTTGTCTTCTTGGGCCATCAAAACTAACAAGTAAGTCGGTCCCTGCTGTAAGCTTCTTTTGGCTGGGAAATTCACTGAAACTAGACACACATCCAGCAAACCAAGTCTCCCTCTAACCAGAACCGGATGATCTTAGGCCGAACCTAGCTAATGGTCCAACGCGAGGTAAATGTGTCTCAACAAGCAGGTTGCTGGGTATGTTTACTCTATGCACTCTTGAGGACGCAGGTTTGCTGGGACGGGGGAGTTTTCCTCCCCGGCGACGCGCGCCTACCGCGATCAATATTAGAACCTTGAACCACCCTGTGTATACCAGCATAAGGTAAGCTACAACGTTTGTTTTAGGAATTCAGTTAATGTTATACATAGGTACGTGTAGTAATCCAGGTGTTCTTGATTTTGGTGAACAATTGTGGTTTCGAACCACAATTCATTATAAAGTTGAATATCAGACTATGAATAATCCTCTTCATTACGGGTGTTATGAAGAGTCATTAAAATATACACCCACGATTATTATTTATTTTTACTTACTATAATACCCTCGCCGCAGCAAACATAGAGACTAAGCAAATTTCTATTTGGCTGATTGGATTTACTCTAAAATATATCCTTAAAAATTTCACATTTAATCCCTATATAAATGTATTTTAAATAATAACAAATGTAAATTTGTAAACATAAAAAAATGCACAAACAACAATAAAACCAAAGTTCAGAGAAACTAATTGAAAAATTATTTTTTATTAAAAAATAAACACTAATTTTGTGTTGTTATTAGTTTAACGAGTACTTAGGTTTGCTGCAACAGGGAGGGTAAAAAGTGTTTTTTGTTGTAAAATGTTAATAGTTTAGTAAGAAATTAATGTATTTTCCAAATTTGATCAAAATATGTTCATAAACAAGCAAACTACAACAGTTGACTTTTTCTCCATAAGAATAACATAGGAA